ACCTACTAAAATTCATTTATACTCTTTTATTAATAAAACTACCCCTAAACCCTAACCTAACCCTAAGAAAAAAAACCTTAACAAAAGGCCCAAAAAATTTTTAAAATTTAATATTAAAATATTTAAAATCTCAGCATCAGCCAATTTTAGCATCAGCTGCCACAATAATTATTTATAAAATTAATTTTTTTAAATTATTAAAAATAATTACTTTTCTAGAAGATATTTATACAAAAGCAGAATTGAATACAAAATTATCCAATTATACCACTCCTTAGCTTTAAAAGATAAGTAATATTTTTGAATATTAATTAGAGGTCTACCAAAATCTGTTGGCATTGTTTTTTTATTATATTCAATTATTTTTTCAATTTCATTTCAATTATTTTTTAAAATTTTATATTCTGTATTATTTAAAATTTCATTTTTAAAAATTTGCCTATAAAATGATGAAACATATGAGGAGCAACATTTTCAAAAATGCATGTATAATATCTGCAGGAAATGATAAAGGAAAATTAATTGAAGATAATTCAAATAAAATACTGTATCTATTTATGCCTATTAATATAATAAATAAATAAATTAAAATAAGTTAAAATTTAATTAATATAATAATAAAAATTACCTTTTTTGCATTCATTAATATCTAGAATATAACTATTATGAGAACACATTAGTAAATTTTCTGGATTATAATTATTATATTCTTGTAATAAATGAAGTGGATAATACATATGTCTAGCAGTTTCAGAATAAGATCCTTTTATATAACAATATTGACATCCATATTTAGCATTATAACCTGAAAGACATATAACTTTAGATAAAGCAGGAATATCTCCTAACTATAAAAGAATATAGCTATACAATTTAAATAATTCTTTTAATATTGCATTATAACAAGTTATACCATCTACAAAATTTTGATTTAATTAATATATTTAATACTATTAATTATATAATTTAAAATTTTAAAAGAAAAATTACATTCAAGTTGCTTTAATTCATCAACTAATAGTCATAAAAAACTATTAAAATCTTTTGGAGATTTTGGTTTAGGTATAACCATATTAATCATTAAATTTTCTTTTTTTACTCTTTTTAATGGTAGAAGATTTGCATTTAAAAGCAAAATTATCCAACAGTTATTTTGTTTTTGTTTAAAAACTTGATAGCTATCCATAGATACAATTGAAGCGATATCTCTATAATCTAAAAATAAGCCTGATGTTACTAAAGTTTTATATCTATTACTATCAAAAACATCTCCAATTTTGCTATTCTTAGAAGTATATTCTTTTCTTGATGTATATTCATATTGATATCTAAGATCTTTCACTCGTGATAGATTTCTATATTGCGATTTTAAGCTATTAGTTATTGAAAAATATGATAATTGTTTTAAGATTTTTTAGATTTTTTTTAGTTGTATATTATACTCTTTACATATAGAACATGTATCAAAATTAGCATTTTGTTCAGTAAATGCACAGCAAGAATTCCAACAAATATTTATAAGTTTTGGTTCTAGTGAAACCAAATTTCCTAAAACTTTTCGAAGCTGATAAAGAGAAATATTAGAAATATTAAAAATTTCTAATATTTTATTAAATGCTTGATCAAAAATTGTATGTTTATTTTTGATATAAAGAAGCTAAAGCCCTTTAATTATTTCAAATAGTAAATCTAAATTATAAAAATATTGATATTAAATTTTTTAAAATAAAAATTTAAATAAAATATTAAAAATAATTAACATTAAATTCAGTATTATCAAAATTCTCTTCTGATTCAGAACTTATTTTTTTACTACTTTCTGATTCACTCTCTTCTAATTCATTCTCCTCTAATTCATCCTCCTCTAATTCATTCTCTAATTCATTCTCCTTCTCTAATTCATCCTCCTCTAATTCATCCTCTGATTTATTCTTCTCTTCTAATTCTTCCTCTTCTGAATCATTCTCCTCCAAATTTTTCTCCTCCAATTCTTCTTCCACTAAATCATTTTCTTTCAATTCATCCTCCTCTGATTCATTCTCCTTATCCAATTCATTCTTCTTCAATTCCTTATTTTCTAAATCTAAAAAATTAATTCAATTAAAAAAAAATCAATTCAAAATAATCAAAAGATTTTTTATCTTACTTTGTTTAATATTTTTCTCAATATCCTCCATACTAACAATATTTATTTGATTATTTAAAATATTATTAGATGTATTATTTGAAATTGGTAAAGGAGTTTGAAGATTTTTTTCTCACTTCCTATACCTTGTTTGAGTAGAGATACTTAATAATTTGCTACAACAATCAGTTTCTTGCATGCAAAATACACAAGTACATAAAACATTATTATCTATAACTAATTATTATAGAATTTATAAATTAAAGATAAGTATTTAAAATATTATATTTTTAGGGTTAATTAATTTTACTAACAATTTATTAAAAAACTAACATTTTTTTTTCTTAATACTTTTTTGCAAAAAACAAACTCATGTTTTGCCAAACTAATAGAAAAAACAATCTACAAAAACAATCTACAAAAACAAGTTGTGAAAAAATTAAAAGAATCAATTATAATTATATAAGAACAATCTGTAAATAAAAACCTGTTATTGAACTTTTAATTATATTTTGTGTTAGTTAGCCATCTATAAAAATTTATAATTATAATAGATTTTCCATAGACAGCTAACTATACACAAAATATAATTGAAAGTCCAATAAAAAATTTTTTTTGATGATGCTTATATTAGACTTATTATAATTGCTATTTAAAATTATATAATTATCTACTATTTAATATTATATATTTTTAATATTAAAGTAACTATTATAGCTAGAGACTTTTTATTAGATAATTAAGAATATTTACAATTATGATAAGAGTATAACTAGTTATATATATAACTTTTAGTTATCTATTTAAGTGGTTTGCTCAAGTTCTATACTAGCTATCATATCTGCAATATAACTAGGCAATTATCTATTTAAGCTTTGTAGTTTTTACAAATAAAAGTATGACTAGCTATATATGCAACTTTTAGTTGCATATTTAAATAGTCTGCTCAAGGTTTCATACTAGCTACCATACTTGCAATCTAACTAAAAGATTATCTATTTAAACTCTCTAGTCACAACTAGCTTACTATTATTATCTAACTAAGATATAACTTACTATATATATTAAATTTGCACTATCTATAGATTTTATACTTTATTTAGAACTACTTTATTTTTAAGATGAATTTAACAAAGTAGTATATGTTTTACAAATATATTTACCTGTGTGTTTAGTAACTTCTTTCTAACTAATACTTGTTGTATTGCTACTAATAAGTTTGTGTTTTAGAATATTGCTATAACTAATCTATATCTCAAATTACAACTTTTCTATATTAATAGTTAGTTACATACTTCTTACCTTTGTATTTGGGTTTATACAATTTCAGTACCCATATTTTAACTTTTTTTTTTTTCTCAGATTTTTTACTAGGCTTTTCTTTGCTTCTAATTGGCAATTCAAAAAAGTTAGTACATCAAGATCTTAGATATTTATATAGTTTTTCTTCTCTTAGTATATGCTTCTAAAGCATATATCCTTTTTCTCTAGTTTAATAATCTGGTAGTTTAGCTAGTATGTGTCTCTACTTAAGGATCTAGTTGCTTAGTTCTCCAATCTCAGTTTCTAGTTCCAAATTCAGTCTTTTATAATATTATTAAAGATTATACTACCTTTTAACTCAGAACTTGCCAAATAGATTTTAGTTATTCTAGTATTTTAGTTATATTGTGCCAAAGCTTCTATTTTAGAAGGTATAACTGAGATTATAGATTTCTAGATTCTACTAATCATTGAATAGCCATTAACTATATTACAGAGCTATTTTTCAAAAATGTCATCTATGAGATTTAAACTCTAGTTTTGCTATTTGAAATACAACAACTCCACTACTTACTAAGTTGCTGCATTCTTAATTAGATTATAGAAATTTATTAAAATTTATATATTAATATTAAATATAGCAATATATTTTTAACCTATATTATTTTTATATTATTTGTAAAATTTTTTTTTACTAGATAAAAAATTATATCTTTTTGAAAATATATAGTTTTTTATTATAATAAATTTTTTAATAAATCAATTAACAAAATTCTAAAGTCTTACTTAGTAGATTATTTATATAATGTTGTAATATAAAAATAAATTAATTAGCATATAACACCCCAATAAGCTATCTTATAATCCTATAATTCCAAATTAAAGCATATTAAAAATGTATACCAGATTGTACTTTAAATGATCAGAAATCAATCTAAACAATTATAAATGATATCATCGATTAATTAATAATAAATAATAATAATTATTGATATTGTAAAGTAAATTATTTTCTTTATTAATTTGCTTTATATTTTGTTTATATTTGTTTATACTTTATTTATAGTTTGTTTTATACTTTGTTGTATATTTTGCTTTATACTTTATTTTATATTTTGCTTTATATTTTGCTTTATAATTTAATTCATACTTTATTTTATATTTTGGTTTATATTTTGGTTTATATTTTGCTTTATATTTTGCTTTACATTTTGCTTTATACTTTGCTTTATAATTTGCTTTACATTTTATTTTATTTTTTGCTTTCTATTCTATTTTATATTTCACTTTATATTTCACTTTATATTTTGCTTCATATTTTACTTTATATTTTGCTTTATATTCTGATTATATTTTTACTTTATATTTTGCTTTATATTTTACTTTATATTTCACTTTATATTTTGCTTTATATTTTATTTTATATTTGCTTTATATTTTGCTTTATATAAAAAAAAAATTAATAGAAATAATAATGCAAACTAATTTGTTTAACTTGTATAATTTTTCTACTTACTCTAAAAAATACTTCTATCTAATAATACTTATAAAATAAAAATTATGCTATCCTGAATGGTTAATCTTTAGTATAGATGAGCAATATAAAAATAATATAAAATTATAATATATAAAAATAGCTATTTAAACTAATTTAAGCAAATTTGGAATTAGTTAGAGTTAGGGTAAAAGTTATTGTATAATTTATAGTTAGATTAGGGTTAGAGTTGTAGTTTTTTTATATTATAATTTTACAATATTTCTATATTGCCTATCTATATTAAAGAAGATCTAAACTTTTTAATAATATAACAACAAATAACCTCGAAGTGCAAGATTTAAATGATAAATCTTTGATTCCAAGTTGCTTTTTAATAAAAATAGTATTTTTTATTAAAAAAGTTAAAGTTGAAGAACAAAAGCCACTATTAGAAACTTCTATATACCTAACTCTTGAAAGTATACTCACTTTTTCTATATTAAAGGAGCGATCTGAATTTAAAAAAAAGCTATTATCCTTTGAAGAGCCTGAATCTATAAAAGAATACTATTTAGCCATACTATCTTCTTTTGTTAATTTTTTTATGGTTTGATTTCGACTATAAAAGAAAAAAAATTGCAAATATTGGCTAGAAAAAGAAAAGAAAGAAATATGTCTCCTCCACAGTTAGAAAGAAGAAAAATTGAACTACTTTCTTCTTTTTTTTTTTCTGTAATACTTATTATCGCTTTTCCTTGCTAAAAAATATGGTTTACACATATTCCCTTTTTCTTTGCCAACAACCAAAAATGATAGAAGTTTTATACAAAATTCTTTATACAATTCGAATAGTAGCATATGTAAAAGATTATGAAGTTTGCAACTAAAAAAAAAAATATCTGCTGCGGATCCTTGGTCAAGACTTAACAAAAATCTAAATGTTTTAAATATCATAGCTATAGATAATATCGATATGAAAGATGTGATATTTCAATATGGTAATATTTTTAAAGAAGTTCACAAAACTGCATACGCAATAGTAAGAATGGTCTTTCAATTCCAATATCTAGAGCTTGCCAACTTGAATGACAATTCAATAAAAAACTACACTCTTTTTTGGCATAAGTCCTATTATGAAACAATGGCAAACAAAAGTAGATTTAGTCTTTAAAAATTTAGTTAATCAAAGACTAACTTTTAGTATTGAACATATTGATAAAGCTATTAGAAAAAATATAGATTCAACGATGTTTATCGATCCTTTAAATATCATAATTCTTAATCTAGAAAAAGCTCCAAGCAAAAATAAGCATGTTCACAATACCATTGATATGTTTCTAGAAGATTTCAGTTATACAGAAGATGGTATATTAAATTTAGTATATGATGAGGTGATATATCACCACATAAAAGACTACAAAAATAAAGACCAAACTGTGTATTATATTCTAGATTAATGGCATACAAGCAAAGCAATATACAGTGTATTAATTACTGCTTTTTTTGTTTATGAGCTTTTTGGGATTGCTGCTTAGCTTGGTGTCAAGTTTCTTGATAAACTCGAAAAAGTTGTTGATTATTAGGCAACATTTCGCATACTTGAACTTCTTTAGATAGCTGTAGAAATTGCAATTTATTGATATGCTAAAAAAAAAAACATCTCTATTAGTAATATTTCTAAAACAAATAACAAAACATTAAAAGTGTAGTATAATTTCTATCAGTGCAGGATATTTAAAATTGCACAAGCTTGATATTCAGATAGGAAACTTTGATCTACAGATGCATAGTTTAATGGCGTTTGCACTCTTATTTTATATTACAAAAAGGTATCGATATGCAGAGTCTGTAGCACAATTTATATTAGATATTCAAAATAATTCACAGTTTCTTCAAAATCTTCGAATTGTGCTTTTAGTTAATTTGACTCAAAAAGGGTATTATTTTGCTATTGATAAGAGTTTAGAAATATATAGAGTAAAGTTTTTAAAAAAAAATATAACTGGTCATACTTCAAATTTAGAAAATCTAAACTTGAATATCAAATTAGCACAAGCAGAATTTGAACAACTTGATTTGGTAATTTTAGTATTTACCAATGATTATTTAATAAGCAGAAGCTCATGGTCTATCAAAATTCATCAAGAAGCTACTTGGAAACTAAGTGATGAACTCATGTTAGAATTTGATGAACTCATATTAGAATTTGATAACAAAGAGCCAGAAACCTGTATATTATTTGCAGAAACTACACAACTTACAGAAGATGGATACTGATGAATGATTACCTGCTATAAATTAGAAATCCAAAA